AAATTGAATTTTAAAAATAAAAAATGTATGGCATTGGGGGCAAAACCGTTTAAAAACTGTTTCGTAAAAACAGTTGAAAATGAAAATCTGCATTACCTTCATATATGAAGTTTTTCTAACTTCACATGAATCAAGTGTCAACAAATATTAACCTGATTTTTTAACCAAAACATAAATTAAAATTAATAAATTAATATTAAATAAAATAATATTAAATAATTATTTTTATTTATTTTCAAAAATCACATATTTCAATTTAATTATTTTTTATTATTATTATCTTATATTATCTATATTATTATGTTACATTATTTCACAAAATCAAATAAAATAAAGGACATTAGTTATTTTTATGTAAAAAATCTGTGTTTATTATATTAATATATTAAAATAGTATAATTTTAAAAAGAATATTTCATTTAGAACATAAATTAATTTATTACTATTCAAATTTATTATTAACATTAAAAAAATGATAAATTTTATGTAAATATAATATTAATATTTCATAATATTTTCGCGCCGTTATTTAAATTATTTTTGAATTTGAACAGTCAGTAAAGTAGACTTTTCAACGAAAAAGTGAAGAGTTGAATTCAAAATGTGAGGTTAAAAATACAAGTATTGATATTTTTTATAAAATAACTTAAAACTCTTTAAAAAATGTATAAAATACTTATGTTTCAAAGATATTAGGTCATTTACTGCAACTTCGTACAGTTTTAACGGCTATAATTTTCTACTTTCAAAAAATATAAGCAAAAACGTCGCTGCCCCGCCATACGGGGCAAAGCCGTTTTTTTGCATCTCTTTGAAAATAATTAAATTAATTAATCAAGCTTATAATAAATTAAATAATTACTATTGAAATTTGTTATTAATTAGTTTTAGATGAAATAGAAAAAAAAATCACGTCAATTGAAGGTGTAATAACAAAAATATTTATAAATAAATGTTACATCAGCGGCTTTGCCCCGCTCTCCCCTAATTGTAAATTTAATTTGTTGACTTGAGAATTCTTCTTTGGATATAATTTCTATAACACATATATGATACTACTCTTCACAAGTAAAATGTTTTCACTTTAACCTTATCTTTCTTATTATTATACAACTGAACCTCCCAATTCTATAACTCGTTTAGCGCTCGGACGGACGCTCTACTAGTAGTCGGGTAGCAGCGAGCGTCAATGACTCCTTCGCTACTACCCGACTACCAATAGAGCGTCCGGCCGAGCGCTAAACGAGTTATAAAATTAGGAGGTTCAACTTTATAGTTTATAAAATTGTTGAATTTATTTTAAAAAAATTTTATATTAAACTTATAACTTCTACGTTATAATTTTATTTTATATTTTATGCTAATTTCATATGTTTTCACAACTAAATTAAGATATCGACAATATTTACATTTTAAACACCACTCTACAATTACATTGTACTTATCTTTTCAGATACTATAATGAAAATTCACCTTCATGAAGTTGGCGTCGACGCACAGCGCCGGAAATTGTTTTTCACAGGACAAAAAATGTCAAATTATTTTTTTTAAGATTTTCAATCCAAATAATGTCTAGAGAAATACTTTTCAAGGTATTATATGGACCCAAAACATTTTTAAAAAGATTTGATATTTTCGGTCCCGTGAAAAACAAATTTCGTCGCTGAGCGTCGATGCCAACTTCATGGAGGTGAACATTTTGTTTTTGTTCTCCTTTTTTCATAGAACCCTCATGCCAAAAAATTTATAAATACATTAAATTATATTAAGGGTTTAGATAAAAAACATCATAATACTTTATTTAATTTATATTACATTAATATTTCTCAAATAAGTATTAATTTAATTATTATAAATGTCATAAAATAATGAAATAAAATTTTTGCATTTCTGAACATGAATATGGCTGGTGAGTACTAATTGGTACAACTCTGGTCACCAATAGGGGCAACCAAAAATTCGTCGAACACAAATTGGTACAATAACACCACTTTAAACAAATTGTAAATTCAGATGTTCATTATATGAACATTTTGCTTCCTCTTTACGATCAGCAAAAAATTTGCTTCCTCGTGGAGAAAGCATTAACATTGAAATAAACATACAAAAATAATATAATAATAATATAAACATTTGAGTACCTATACATTTGAGTTAAATTTAAAGAATTAATGGAAGTTAAAAAATCAAAAATTCACATTTTAGCTGAAATATCAAAAAATTAATGAAAAATAATATATAATTTATGATTATTTACAATTATATCGATTCTTTTCAATGCAAGGAACACAATTATTTTATATTTAAACTTGAATTGAAATAAATACAAAATTTTTTAGCTAAAATGTGAATTTTTTATTTTTTAACTTTCATTAATTTATTAAATTTACCTTAAATGTAAACTTTATATATACCAATCGATTTGTTTTCATGTAAGGAATACAATTATTTCATCTATAAACTTAAATTTAAATAATCACAAAATTTTATAGCCAAAATGTGAATTTTTGATTTTTTAACTTTCATTAATTTTTTAAATTTAAATTAAAACTATATTTTATATATACCGATCGAATTGTCTTGACGTAAGGAAGACGATTTTATTATACATAACCTTAAATTTTTCTATTTAAAAATTCTTTCGATTGAAAAAAATTTTTGGAAAAAGACGATAATATTTTTTTTGGGTATTTTTTAAAATCCTTTGGACAGTTTTGAGATATTAATATGATAAATAAGCCTATCAAATTTTATCTGAATCGATTAAGGGCATGTCCAACATGTGAAATGTAAATAAACATGAAATGTAAAAAAACCATGCACATTTTTTCGCACTTTTCATTTGAATAGGAAATGAAAAGGACCCCGCACTTTTTGTATTGAAATTGGCTCTCAGCCAAGTTTTTTGTAACTTTGCATTTTTGTAGTTTTTGACCTCCTGAACAAAAAATGTATATGACAAAACTCAAAATAATGACCAGTTTTTGAGATACAGCGCTCCAAAGTTGAAAAATAATTAAATAATGTGTATTGAATACATGAGATTGTTTTCTGTCAGAAATCAATTAAACCGGCTTAAAACTGGTTACTCGGGGGTTTTTGGGGTCGCTAATTACGAATCCGGTGTCACTTTTTAAAAATTCAAAATGGCGGATACAATATGGCGGACTTCTTTTTAAAAAATCGTTTGGATTTTCTTGAAACTCTCTACTCGGCGGTTTTTGGAATCGCTGATTACGAATCCGGTGTCAGTTTTTAAAAATTAAAAATGGCGGATCCAATATGGCGGACTTGTTTTTAAAAAATCGTTTGGATTTGCTTGAAACTCTCTACTCGGGGTTTTTGTGGTCGCTGATTACGAATCCGGTGTCAGTTTTTAAAAATTCAAAATGGCTCTCTATTTTTTTCTAATCTTCGAATTTCAGTAAATAGGAGGAGTTTGGAAGTTATCTTTATTGGACAAAAATCTCTATTTTCTCTTTAGGGGATGAGACAATTATTATTTAAAAAAAAATTCTCTTCACTGTGAATTTTCCATGCCCAACGGCCGTGGAGAAAATGGAGATTTTTGGTTAATTGAAATAAGACATAAACTTCTCCTTTTTACAGCAATATTTCTATTCGTGGCATCGAAAATGCGAAATGGAGAGAATAACAGTATATTAAGCAACAAGGGGCCAAAGGCAGCCATTGTTTACGTTGGAGTTTACAACCCGAGACGTGAACGAGTGCTAGCAAACGGGAGAACATACATTGTAAAAAGAAAGTTTAAAAATAATAATAGTTAGTCTATTTTTTAAAGAGAAAATGGAGAAAATGAATGGATGGATATGACGATATTGATGATGTATATTTTATTCTTTTTTCCATACTAACTTCATTTGTTTCTTTCTTCTTTTATTAAGTCATTCATTTATTTTTTAGTGATAGGGTGTAGAGATACTCTGTAATGCAATTTAGAATTTTCTTTTGATTTTGTTTAGTTGTTCTGTATTGATTTCATTTTTCCTAGTAAGTTGAGGAAACCGGCCGTTTATTCATTTTTTAATTATTTAGTCTAGAACTGAATCCATACTCTTAAATGCAAGTTAGAATTTCTTTCTGGTGTTGTTCATATGATTTTCTCCGTGCCGAGTTCAGTTGTTTTTTTTGATAAGTCAAAGATATATTAACTTTAACCTGTTTTTCATTTATTCTTTCGTGAAGTGGAGTAGAGATTCTTTATACTACCAATTACTGAGTCTTGTTAATCTTGAGAAAACCGGCAATTAATGCATTTATTATTTCGTGTTGTAAAGAAGAAATTGAACAAAAATACTTCATATAGGGCTTTTGGATGCTTGTTGTTAGTAAAAAATAAAATATCTTACAAACAAATAAAGTTATCGTAAATCTAAACTAACCAATTGAAAGTTAAGCTAATTCCGCATCCAACGAGTCTGTTAACACCACTCAAAAAGTTAAGATTTCTTTTGAGAACAATTCAAACTGGTTGTCAAATTTGATCCAACCAGGTTTTGTTGTAAAAACCAGTTGGATCCAACAAAAGCTAGAAAACGGTTATTATCTACGATAATCTAACCGACACTTACGAAATTAGTTAATCAGACAAAAGTCTACAGATTAACAAGACTTTATTATTTTACAAACTCTGGGAAAAACCCATAAGGGTCATAAAATCTTTCCTTTTAAGAAAGTATGACGTCACTGAAAAGGTAGGACCTTCTACCTGTTTAGGTATACAAGCGACGGAAGTGAAAAAGGAACTGTTTATAACAACGAACTCACTTCTTCGGTATCTCTCAATGAGTCAACATGTGAAATCTTACGTTTATTAAAATTATTAAAAATAAAAGTGTTAAAGTTTACAAAAATTATTGTGTTTTATTCAAAAACCCAAACAAGGTCCTTCGAGCCGGATATTAAAATCCAAACTTTTGAAGATTTAATTGTGCTTATATTTGAAACACGTGGCCAGTGAAAGTAATCGAGTGTGCAAGATGGAAGAACTAATCGACGAACAAGAAATTGCTATCACCACAATAACCAGAGCAGAAAGAAGCTTCAGAAAACGTCCTTATGGTGAAATGACTGCAGCATACGTGGAAGGTCGACGATCAGAGTTGATGCAAGCTTGGAACAATTGCAAGGCATTGGATGTGAAGATCAACGCAATCGCAAAAGGATCAGATAAGTCTTTAATTTCTTATTTTTCTGAAAGTAAATTTGAAAATGCAGAGGAAAATTATTTACAGACTTTAGACACGTTTAATGAAACAATAGCAAATATAAACACTCGTTTAATCCGCGATTCAGGTGAAAGTTCTCAGTCCCGCGATTCCATAGAGCCACATAGAAGAATTAAATTACCTAGAATTGATTTACCGAAATTTAACGGTAATTATCTTGAATGGCAAAACTTCAAAGATATGTTTGAATCAATGATAGCTTCAGAACATGATTTAGCTGATGTACAAAAAATGCAATACCTCAAATCTTGTTTGGAAGGGGAGGCAGCTCAACTTCTCAAACACTTAGGTACAAATTCGTCAAACTATGCTAGTGCATGGGAATTACTCGAAACTCGTTACGCTAATCAACGCGTAATTATTGACTCATACTTAAATTCATTTATATCAATTCCCCCGATTTCGAATGAAACTGTAACAGATTTAAAACTATTACGCGATACTACGATAGAAGCTCTACATGCTCTTAAAAACTTAGGTCGTAATATTAATGATGACTTGTTGGTTTTTATCGTGTCTAAAAAACTAGGACGTCCGTCATTAATTGAATGGGAAAAATACCTTAGTGACAAAATCGAATACCCCACTTTCAAAGAATTAGATAAATTTTTAAATATACGCATTCGACTTTAGAAGCTTTACAAAATGCCAAAGAGATTCAAAAAACCCAAAGTCAAAAACCCAAAGAAAACGTAACTAAAATCAAATCTCATAATACACAAATTCGTTCAACTACTTCGATGAGTGATGGTTGTGTTCTTTGTGGTGAAAAGCATTATCTTTATAGTTGCGAGAAATTCAAACTCATGTCTGAACTAGAGAAAAGGCAAATAGTAAAAGATAAACGATTATGTTTTAATTGCCTCAAACCGAATCATGCGGTTCGTAATTGTCGAAATAAAAGTGTTTGTTTAAAATGCAAAAAACCCCACCACACGTTGTTACACTCTGCTCAACCATCGCTCAGACAAGAAACTGCGTTGCTTAATTCCGCTGAAAATGAAAATGTTAAATCTGAAAACAATCAAAAACAAAGTTCTAGTTCGGTTTCATGACAAAAAACAAGCGACCTCTCGGAGAGAAGCAATGTCACTCTGCAATACACAAGTTGCAATTCAGTCCTTTTAGCTACCGCGACAATCTATGTTACTTCCTTTGATATTAGCAAAAAATTAAGAATTAATGCATTATTAGATCAAGGTTCGGAGGCTACATTCATCTCTGAAAATGTAGTTCAATTACTCCATGCCAAAACACACCGTGTCTTAATTAGAGTTAACGGCGTAGATAACGTTTTTATCAGTAATGTAAAGGCTAAAGTAAACTTAACTATATTTTCAAGAACGGAACCACAGAATTCGATTGAGATTTCCGCTTTAGTGTTACCGAGACTTAATAACTACACACGTTTGAACGCAAGCTCTACTAAACAATGGGAACACTTAAAGAACTTAAATTTCGCTGACGACAATCCATTCATAACAAAAAAGTATGAGATGATTATTGGAGCAGATTATTACGGCTCTCTTTTGTTAAAAGGTATAAAAAAAGGTCCTAATGGTTCCCCCATTGCTCAGAATTCCCTTTTAGGATGGATAGTCTCTGGTCCTACGAATTCCTTAGAAACAGTTCCTAGAACTTTAGCTCACCAAAATATAGAAATTCCGGAACTTCAACAAGATCTACAACGATTTTGGGAAGTCGAGGAATGTTTCGAAAAGATAAGCCTTACACCTGAGGAAAAAAGTTGTGAAGAATATTTTAGTAACATACATTCGCGAACAACAGAGGGACGTTACGTTGTTCGACAAATTTTTAAAGACAAAGAGAATCAAATCCTAGGATCATCCTTAGCAAAATCCCTTACTATGTTGACAAGATCAGAAAAACGTTTAGACAAAAATCCTTCTCTTAAGAACGATTATTATGATTTTTTAAAAGAATATAAAACGTTAAACCACATGGTTGAGATAAAACCTGATTTAAAAGACGAAAAACAACGCGTTTACTTACCTCATCACCCAATAATACGAGAAAGTAGTTCAACAACACGTGTCAGAGTAGTTTTTAACGCATCCAGTCTTACTTCTAATGGTGTTTCCTTGAATGACCTTTTGTCAGCTGGTCCCAAATTACACACGGAAATCCCTTCGATTATTTTACGCTGGCGAAACTATCGCTTTGTTATGACGGCAGATATCTGCAAAATGTTTAGACAAATTCTAATCGACCCCCAAGATCAACACTTACAAAATATAGTGTGTCGCTTGGGACCAGATGAGGAGATAAAACACTTTCGATTACTCACCGTTACATACGGCACGAAATCAGCTCCTTATTTAGCAAATCGAGTGATAAAGCAGTTAGCTGCGGATGAAGGAGAAGATTTTCCAGAAGCTAAAACGGTATTGGAAAACGACTTTTATGTCGATGATGGTTTATTTGGTGGAAATGATTTAGAAAAAACTCGAGTTCTTAAAAACGATTTATGCAAACTTTTAGCGCGAGGAGGTTTTATGTTATACAAGTTTTCCTCAAATGCCCCAGAATTATTATCTGGACATACTGATATTGAAGAAAGTAAAAATCTTGATATAGTAGAAACAGAGAGTAATTGTTCGGTGCTCGGTCTAGTTTGGAATTCGAAAGATGACGAATTTAGATTTACCGTCGCAATGCAACCATTTTCCGTAGTAACCAAACGATTAATTCTATCTGTAATTTCCAAGCTATTTGACCCTTTAGGTTTAGTAGCTCCTATTATAATTGTCGCGAAAATTATAATGCAAGACCTATGGTTACAAAAATTTCAATGGGATTCAGAATTACCCGAGAAATTTAAAGAACAGTGGGTTTCGTATTGTCACAAACTCAACAGTATAAAATCTATTAAAATACCTCGCTGGACTGGTTGTAAAGAGGGGAGTCAAATTGAGGTACATGGTTTCGCAGACGCATCTTCACGCGCTTATGCTGCTGTAGTTTATATTCGTGTTCTAAACCCACATAAGTCACCTATCCTCACTATCTCCCTTGCAAAAACTAAAGTTGCACCTATTAAAATTGTGACCATTCCAAGATTGGAATTATGTGCAATAGTTCTGCTTACAAAATTACTTAAAAGGGTTGTTAGCGATCATCAACTGAATCAAACTCCAATATATGGTTGGACAGATTCAACAATTGCACTCTCCTGGTTAGCTAAACATCCTTCAACATGGAAGACTTTCGTTGCTAACCGAGTTCAAACAGTACATACATTGCTTCCCTGTATAAAATGGAGACATGTTCCTTCTTCTGATAACCCGGCAGATTGTGCCTCAAGGGGGATTAATCCTTCCGAATTGCAGGAAAACAGACTTTGGTGGCAGGGACCTATTTGGTTAAAAGAACCAGAAGCCTCTTGGCCTTCAAGTCCTGTTCTAGAGTACGGCAACAGGCACACTTGAGATGCCTCCACGGTGGCCCTCAGCTAACTTTATTTTTAAAAGATTAGTAGATTGTTAATAAACAATTGCAATGTTAACTAATTGTTTATTAACAATCTACTTATCTAAAATACTTCATATAGGGCTCGTTGGATGCGGAATTACGTTAACTTTCAATTACTAACTTCAGAATTACGGTAACTTTATTCGTTTGTAAAATATTTCATTTGTTATAAAAATTAATTAATTAATTAATTAATATCTCAAAAACTTTAAAAGATCCCACTCTGAAAATTACATGTTTTGTAGGAAATTAGTCAAGCTTTCCATTGAGATAGTTAAAAATAATTTTAAAAAATCCGATTTTGAGATAAACGTAAATTAACATTTTGACCTTGAATTTCAAGGTCAAATGTTATTTAAAAAAAAAATTTTATTAACAGCGTGTAGCTCGTCAAAAAAGCTTCAAAAATCATTATATATATGTTAACTTTTATGCATTCTACTTATAAATATTGTACATTAAAAAAAATTTTTTTTTAAAAAGTCAAAAATTAAAAACGTTGTAATTCAAAAACTATTTTATTAAATTCAATAATAATTGATTTTTAGACTTTCACCAACAATAACAACATTTTAGAAAAGTATGGATTAAATTCGAGAACTTTTAATTTTTTGTTCGGACATTTCAGGAATTTTGCCTCATATAAGTATTTAAACCGAAAGGTTTATTCTGTTTGCTGTCAAGTTTCGATCTATTTTCGATTTATTTTTGTCACAAATATTCAATTAGGAACTAATAACAAATGCAGTTATTAAAAATGTCGTTCAGAGTACGCTTCGCGTGTTATACGTGCAATGCACAATTTGCAAGGCAACAATAGCGATTATTGGTTGGTGATGAAAACATTGTTAGGCGCCAAATTGCTATCACAAGAAGGGTTCAGCTGAATCATCCTCCACTTCACCTGAACGAAAATTCGAGATTATGTTTCTAATACCATATGTCAATTTCAAACGAAATAGCACAAGAAAATGAGGATCCAAATTGTTTGCGATTAAATATTTTAACTCAAACTGCTAGCAGCTCTTGTGTAGTTTGTAACGAGCAAAATAATGTGAGTAGATTATCCGTAGGCTGTAGAGTAAAAGTTTTTGTAGCAAGAGATATTTACATGTCCCAAAATGTAAGAGCCTGTCCACATCATTTAGATGAAGAAGGCAACTTATTTAATGTTTTACTACCTGGTTTTCGTTCCATTAATGGACCTTGTAAGATTAACGGACGTATTCTGGCATCATTTTTACATGGTTTAAGAGAAGAAAGCGCTAAAAAGATATATTTTCAAGAATGAAAATAATTTAAATGATGATGAATTTGTGTGCATTGCACCCATCACAAAAGAACAGTTTCAGGAACTGTTTACATTTTGTGATCCAGTTTCACAATATGGTAACATGAGACACATTTCTAAAAAAGATTTATTGACCTTTCTATGTAAGTTAAGACAAGTCATAAGTGATGACTTCCTGTAACTTATCTTTCATTACCCAAGCAGACAGTGTGTGAGCTTGATTATAGATAACGTAAGAAAGTAATTAATGTTAAGATTAGTTCCTCACAATATCGGTATCAGATCAATAACACGTCAAGACTATATAGATCGGCATGTTACTGATTTCGCTAATGCTTTATACAATCCTCAACCGAATGAAGCCAAAGCTATCGTTGCCATTGACACCACATACGCCTACATGCAAAAAAGTACAAACTTCCGTGTATTACATCAGTCATATTCCCTTCACAAAGGAAAACATCTTTTAAAACCTACCATCATTGTGGCTCCCGACGTATATATTTTGGCAATTTTCGGTCCATATTTCTCAGATGCCAGAAATAATGATGCACAAATATTACGCCAAGAATTTGATAATAATGTCGATACTTTAAGAGACTGGTGTCAAGTCGGTGATATCGTACTTGTTGACAGAAGATATCGTGATGTTCGGACACTTTTGGAGCGTTTGGGAATAAACATCAAAATGCCAGCTCTGCTTAATGCTTAAGTTAAGTTAATGCTCTGCTTAAGTTGAGGCAACTTACAACCGAAGATGCTAATGAGTCTCGTCTGGTTACGAAAAGTCGATGGATTTGTTGGAAGTTAGAAATGCACATTTTAGATTAGTTTTCAAGTTTCTCGCTGGAACAATTAGTCTCTGTTATGCGAAAAACCTTATGTTAGAGCAGTCTCGAGTGCCCAACATTGTGCAAGCACACGGAAATAGCAAACTAACTATTTTAGCACCAAACTGCTTTATCCTTTAATAGTATATAATTTCGTTTACCTATTAAAGTATGAAATACCCAGATAACAAAATGCCAGGCTCCTGGGTAGCCCAGCGCTAGCCCGGTGGCCGATTGACATGCCCGTCGGGCAGGCTAGAACGCAGCATCTTGTGCGCGCCATTGATAGCCATAAGGCTCGCCCCCGTGGCAGGCACCCGCATGCCGGCAGGCTGTACGCCTTAGATGCCGATAATATTTTAATGTATAAGAAACATTTTTTTTAATAAAAATAAGTGATCGGATAAAGAAACAATATTTATGAACGATAACACAAATTTATTGCTTTTTTAAATACAATGTATGTTAATGTACACTTAGACGTATTTTTATGTAATTTTTTAGACAATACTACTTAGAAATTTTAACAAAAGTCCAAAAATTAAAAATAGGGAAATTTTACACAAACTATAAACATAATATCGACAAAATATTCAGCAGCGATTGAATCATATGCCAAAAGTAATTTTCACTGAATTTCAAATTCGTTTTCCTGAGACTTCTTGACATACACTGTCAAAAAAATCTGTATTAAATTTAATAAATTGTATATGAAGCAAATATGCAATACCAGTACTGTAATTTAATATACATTTTTATTAAGATTAATATACATTTACATTAAATTTAATAGAACTTGTATTACATTTAATGTGAATGTATATTAATGTATATTAATCTTAATAAAAATGTATATTAAATTTCAGTACTGGTATTGCATATTTGCTTCTTATACAATTTATTAAATTTAATACAGATTTTTCTAACAGTGTATGTCAAGAAGTCTCACGAAAACGAATTTGAAAAAGAAACGTGATTCTAAGAAACAATTAATTAACGTGTAAATTATGAATAACAGTGATTAAATAGAATTTGCGCAGACCAATAGCGATTAAATCACAGAAGTGAAGCAGGAGCAATTTTCATAAAATTTAAATAGAAATTTAGCATAAATTAATTTCCAATCAGGTAAGTTAAGCTAAAACTTACTTACTAATATAAGAACAAATTAAAAATTAATTTTTTCAACATCGAATATAAATTTCAACAACACTAAGATAAAATTTGGATAACACCAAAACTTTAAAGAGTACTTTAAATAATAAAAAACAGCAATTCTTCTTTTTCCTTTTTCTTCTTCCTGATCTGATGCTTCCCTTGTTTTTCTTCAACTTGAGGCGGCATCTTTGTTTCGTAGCTTTGAATATTAAAAGCATTGCAGCTTTATAAGCTGTCTTATTCGCAGGTCCAATGAACAATGGACAGTTAATGGCAGCCTCTACAACATATACATAAATATTTCTTTGGTATCAATACAAAAATGAAGCAAACTTAAAAATTAATTAAAAGTTAATAAAGGAACGAATTACGGAAGTTTTTTCTGTAACTGTTAATTCAAATCTCAAGATTTCAACTCAAAAAATTTTTAAAAAGAACTTTATTATAAAAATAAATTTTCAAAACTGAATTCTTTTTTTTATGCCAAATTATTTTGCAAAAGAATAAAATACCTACTAAAAAAAGAGAGAATATTTAATTGAAAAGCGTTTTAAGTAATTAAATTATAAAAAAGTTAAAATCAAGATTTTTTCGAAAGATTAAATTTTAGAGAATTTTAATTAAAAAATATTTTAAAAAGTTGAATTTTTGAGTAACTTTATGAAAAATAATCAATATTTGCAAAATATTTTAAATACAACTATTCAAAATAATTTAATTTTGAAAGAGAATTTTATACCAAAGGAAAAGTTTGATAAAATTTTTTTCCGGCGAACCTGTTGAATAACAGGCGTCGTGAACATATGTAGGTTATGGTGGACTTACCAAATTTTGCCTCTGATAAATCACTTTTTCTATAATTCGCCGGTGTATTTACGTTTAAACGTATATTCTTATTTATAGAATTATTTAAAAACAGAAACACTCGCGAACGTTTTTCGGCACTTTTTTTCACGTTTGCCGATCAACACAAAATGAAAAGATACGTGTAGTTCTAATACACAGCACACCGGGTTTAAGCATACAGGTTGGGTTGAACCATCTCACTGTTTCCGATCGCTGATTGGTCGACGGTCAGGTGCTTCTATCACGAGACATTTCCCGCTCTGCGTTTGACTCCATTCAATAGATATTTGATTTTTATTCTTATTGGGTCATAATTTCTGAAATTTTTAGTTCCAAAAAATTTTTTTCATACATTTATAATAACTATTACAATCATTTAGCAGTCTCAAATAAAACATTTTTTTGGTCAAAATCTGCTTGACCGATGAAATAATCAAAAAACAGTTTTTTTGTTTTAAAATGTAATTTACAAAATTTTTTATTTTTAATAATTTTTTAAATTGCGTATTTATAAAATGTTAATACAAAATTGTGTTCTTCATGTCTCATTAAAAATCTAAAAATTGTTTAATATTCCTCATATATTTCAAATTATAAAACCATTAATAAAATGAGAAATAAGTTAAGAAATAAATAAGAATAGTTATTTAATAATATATAAATTTTTAATAATAAATAATTAATTTTATTGTTTGAAAACTGTGCACAATTGTAGCATTCAATTTGCATAGTTGCCTTACACGTAATACTTATATTTATAAATAATTTTTTGTTAATTATTTTTTATTGAGTGAGAATTTTTCTCAACAATTTTATACTCAAAATGTATGTA